CAAATAAATAAATAAATAAATAAATAAATAAATAAATAAATAAATAAGTAAATAAGTAAATAAATGAATAAATAAATAAGTAAATAAATAAATAATAGAAAATAAGAAAATAGGAAAGATCAGCAACAGCATAGGATTTAGAACTTCTTTGGTGCAATGTGCCAGGCACGATGACTTACACCTATAATCCTAGAACCTGGAAGGTGCAAGCAGGAGGATCAAAGTTCAGGGTCATCCTAGGCTATATGAGACTCTGTCTATTAATTAATTAATAAAAAGTATGTAGTTGGGGCTGGAGAAATAGCTCAGCAGTTAAGAGCACTGGCTGCTCTTGTAGAGGACTCGGGTTCAATTCCCAGCACCCACATGGCAGCTGACAGTCATCTGTAACTCCAGTTTCAGGGGATCCAAAACCCTCTTCTGACCTCCTTGGGCATTGCACGACACAGGTGCACTTATGTGTATGCAGGCAAAACACTCATACACATGAATTTTTATTTATTTATTTATTTATTTATTTTTGTCTTTTTGAGACAGCGTCTCCCTGTAGCCCAAGCTGTCCTGGAACTCACTATGTAGACCAAGCTGGCCTTGAACTCAACAGAGATCCGCCTGCCTCTGCCTCCTAAGTGCTGGGACTACAGGTGTGCACTTCGCCACCACACTCGGCCATGAAATAAAATTAATTTTTTAAAAAAGTATGTGGTCATGTAAGTACTACCTCAGCAAGATAGGCTCTTCTCACACTCCAGGAGTCCCCTGTGCCCTTTTGTAGGTTGTGTCCCTCTCCCTAACCCCTTGCTCGTTTGGTTTTGCCCTAAATTACAGTTGCTCTGACTAAGATCTGCTGTCAGAACCAGGCCTTTCTGCTGTACGTCAGCTTCTTTTACCCTTTACTCTTGACTTTTTTTCCTTGATTTTTTAAAAAAGTATAGTCCCCACTACCACCAAGTCCTATTGTTTGATCATTTGGAACTTAGGGAGCTTGGGACCCAGTGTTTAGGTGACCAGAGGGCAGACTTTGATTGAGCAGGCATAATGTAGGGTACAGCTTCTTGGCCAAGGCCTACAGTGGGGGGCACTGGTGTCTCATTTCATAGTCATGCTATCCTTTCTTCACGGACATTGTCAACCTTGGAGCATTGGCACACTATTGTCCTCAGGACTCATCCATGCCTGTGTATATCCCCTAGGGACAGCTTTATTAATAGTTTGGAACCTGCCATTCTGTAAGACTGGTATGATCACCATGGTGCTCCCCATGGGGTATCACTGTCCACTGAGGATGCTGTATGTTGACACCCACCTCTGCTTGCCAGAGCCACTTAACTTCCTGCTGTCACCTCCTGGTTGCACTCTGAATTATCAGCTTCCTTTCTCGTGCTTCCCCAGCGCTTAGAGTCTTGGGAAAGAGGGGAGCATCGAGTGACAGGTCTCATTCCCTCAAAGGTTTTCTGAGAACCAAGCATGGTGGTGCACTATCATCCCAGCACTCAGGAAGATTACAAGTCTGGGGTCAACCTGGGCTACATAGCAAGACCTTGTCTCAAAAGCAAACAACACCAAACAAAACTTAAAACACACACATACACACACAGAGTGTTTGTGAGCCGAGTCCCATTTTCAAGAATTATTCTGTTACGATTAGATGCTAAGTCTGGCTACTGGCAGGAATATAATACAGGATGTCAAGTTTAAGCTGCGTAGGCCACGTGTTGGTTAGTAGATGTGGAGTCTAGGAGACTGAAGATGAGAATTCTTTAAATGCCTCTGTTCTGGTTAAAGTTTGCCCTGTCTTTCTGGCCTGTGCCGTGAGGGGTGTGCCTGGAATTTCCTCACCTCCCTGTGTTCTCACCTGCTCTTTCCTTAGTTACCATCAGGTTTGTGTCATTGTTTTCAAGTCATGAGCTTACTATTTTCTCAACCAAGATGGGGTGTACAAAAATGGAGCCAGTAGATACGGGGTCTCCCCTTGTAAATGGAGCCAGTACATGTAGGTCTCCCCTTTTAATGGAGCCAGTAGATGTGGGGTCTCCCCTTTTAATGGAGCCAGTAGATGTGGGGTCTCCTTTGTAAATGAGATCTTCCAGCAGGAGAGTAACTTGGTCTCTTCTGTTGTCCCAGTTAGGAACCACAATGATAAATTGAGATCTTCAGTGATTGTGTTTGTTTTCATTTTCTTCTAGAACAGCACATTAGTTCCAGAAGGATGGAAATCCTGGAAACTGAAGTGAGTGTTGAAGCATGGAGGCAGGAAGAATTCATAGTATGGAAAGAGGAATGAGGGGGAGAAAACAAAACACAGAAATCTGTTATTTAAAAAGTAAGAACTTTGAGATGTGATTATACTTTTGCTTGTTTTTCCATTCCTGCTGCATAGAGCAGGTACATGTGGGCCCAGATCATCTGTTTCTTTGTTATGATGCTTGGCAGGATGTTGTGAATAGCCCAGATTAGCCCTTTGTTATGTCCAAAAAAATTGAAATCTGTAATTCATCTGCTTTGGAATAAAGAGAATAATAGGACTTAAGGTCTGATGGAGAGTTTGTTCTTAAGTGTTGAGAAGAGCCTTGTGAACATAATGTGCAGACTTAGCTGGGCTTCGTTGTTGTCAAAATTGACAAAGTGGTTCAGTGACCTTCTGTTGGCCCATCTCAGCCCCCCTTTATTTTTTTCATTTCCTTTTCTTTAAATATTTTTATTATTTTTATTTTTGATGTGTATGAGTGTTATGCCTACATGTAGGTAAGTGCACCTGTGTCGTGCAGTGCCCACGGAGGACAGAGAGGTTGTCAGATCCCCTGGAACTGGAGTTATGGACAGTCATTAGCTGCCATGTGGGTGCTGGGATTTGAACCCAGGCCTTCTGCAAGAACAGTCAGTGCTCTTAACCGCTGAGCCATCTCTCCAGCTCCCATTTTCTTTCTTTTTTCATTTTTAATTATTTTGTTTTTTGTGTATGAGTGTACTGCCTGCATGTTTGTAAGTGCACCACCCATCATGTACAGTGCCCATGGAGGTCAGAAGACGTTGGATTCCCAGGAACTGGAGTTACAGATGGTTTTTTAGCTGCCATGTGGGTGCTGAGAATCAAACCCAGGTCTTCTGCAAGAGAATCAGTGCTCTTAACCACTGAGCCATCATCTCTAGCCCCCTCTTAGCCCTTTCTTATAGAACTGCAAGTGGCCTGGAAAAGCCCATTTTCTTTATATTCCAGCTAAAATACCACAAACTATGTAATTTATAAATAGTAAAAAAAATTATTCTGGGCTGGAAAGATGGTTCAATGGTTAACAACACTTACTCCTCTTGCAGAGGACCCAGGTTCAGGTCCTATACCTGTGTGATAGCTCACAACCATCTGTAGCTCCAGTTCCAAGGGATCAAACACCCTCTTCTGGCCTCCTTGGCACCAGGCACACACATGTGAACATATACATATATGAAGGCAAAACTCATACACATAATTTTTTTTTTTTTTTTTTAATTTCTTGTAGTTCTGGGAACCAGGAAGTCTAAGTTGGGGGCACTAGCAGATTTGGTATCTAGAAACAGAGACTGTTGCCCATAGATGGTGCTGCCCTGATCCCAGTGTTCCTAGTGACATAAAGAGACAAAGGTGTTGTTCTTAAGGGCAGAAGGTACAGAAGGGCAAAAACGAGCTAGCTAGTTCCCTTAGGCCCTTGAACAAAGATAAAAGTCCATTCATTCAGGTTCATAACTGACCTTTTAATGCTAGACATTAGGGATTTAGCTTCAACATGGATTCTGAAGGTACACAAATGTAAACAGTAGCACTGACCGCTTGGGCTATCTTAGATTCTTAAGAAGGACACACACTCATCTCAAAATGCTCCCTTTGAAATTGTGGTCCAGGTCATAGTAACACAATACAAAAAATAATAGTAATTAATGTGGTTAAGTGTATAGACTTCGGTGTTAATCAAACCTGTTGTTACCAGTTAACTAGGATGAGGGACTCTGGGCAAGTGGCTTAACTTTATGTAAGCCATACCTCAGGACTAAAGGAGTTCAGTGCATCTATAGCACTTGGCTTGGTGCTATACATCTTTCTTGATTGACTCACAGTTACATATAGTTAATAATAGTCCCACATAGCCTAGGTGTGCAGCAGAGTGCAATAGAGGTTTAAGAACACTGTGATGTTCATATAATGATAAGATCATCAAATGACACGTTTCTCAAAATAGATGCCACAGGCTGGCCAGATGGCCCAGTAGGTAAAGCACTTTTCAGAATTAGATGGCAGTGGTACACATATGTAATTCCAGCAACCTACATTAAGATGGGAGGAAGAGACAAGAGAATCTCTTGGAAGCTGGTGGACCAGCTGACCTGGAGAACAGCACAGCAGAAACAAGAAAGACCACACCTCAACAAGGCGGAAAGAGAGAACCAACCCCCATACACCCTGTGGTATGTGTGCACCTGTTCTCACACACAATAATAATAACAGTAAAAATGTTTTTAAATGTATGTGACTGTAATTTGGCTCATCATTTTTAGTGCTATTGAAACAATATGTTGCCAGGCATGGTGGCCCCCATTTGTAATCCAGCACTCAGGGTGCTCAAGTAGGAAGAATACGATTTCCAGGCCAGCCTGGAAGGAAGGCAGGTCTGGAAGGCAGGAGCTGGCAGCATTCCTCTCTCCTCGGGCAGGAAATCAAATCACTATACCAGTGCCTGGGCTGGACCCTCACAAAGGAGTGCAAAGTACATCAGTTTTAGAGACAAACAGAACTATCTTGAATTCTCTTAATTGGCTAACTCCATTTGCACCTTTTGTTAGATCTGTTTAAATCTTTGAAAACTGAGCCAGGTGTGGTGGCACACACCTTTAATCCCAGCACTTAGGAGGCAGAGACAGGTGGATCTCTGTGAGTTCAAGGCCAGCCTGGTCTACATTGTGAGTACCAGGACAGCTGGGGCTACAGAGAGACCCTGTCTCAAAAAGACAAAAAAAAACTTTGAAAAATGGAGCTGGAGAGATGGCTCAGTGGTTAAGAGCACTGGTTGTGCTCACAGAGGACCCAGGTAGGGTTCCCAGCACCCACATGTCAGCTAACTGTCTTTAACTCCAGTTCCAGGGTACCCAGTGTCCTCTTCTGGTGTCCACGGGCATTGCATACATGAGTGCAGACTTACAAACATGCCCTCAAAACACTCATACATATAAAATAAAAATAAAATTGGGGCTGGAGAGATGGCTCAGCAGTTAAGAACATTGACTGTTCTTGCAGAAGACCAGGGTTCGAATCCCAGCACCCACATGGCAGCTAACAACTGTCCGTAACTCCAGTTCCAGGGGATCCAACAGCCTCTTCTGACCTCCGCAGTCATTGCGTGACATGGGTGCATTTATCTACATGTAGGCAATACATGCATACACATAAAGTAATTTAAAAAAAAATTTATTATTTTTTTTAAGTGGGTTTTTTGTTGTTGTTGGTTTTTGTTTTTGTTTTTGTTTTTTTGGTCTTTTTGAGACAGGGTCCCCCTATAGCCACAGGTGGCCTGGAACTAGCTACATAAACCAGGCTGTCCTTCATCTCACAGAGATCCTCCTGCCTCTGCTGGGATTAAAGGCATGTGCCACCACGCCCAGTTTTGAAAGATATTTTTAAGCACATTTATTTATTTTGTTATGTTTATGTGGGCACATGCCTTGCCACACCCAGGTATGTAGGTCAGAGGACACATTCAGGAGTCCCTTCTCTCCTTCCACCATTTCTGTTCCAGGAATCAAACTCAGGTCAGGCTTGCATGGCAAGCACTTTCACTTTGTTTTGTTTGGTTTGTGTGTTTGTTTGTTTGTTTGTTTGTTTGTTTGTTTGTTTAAAGACAGAATTTTACTACCTAGCTCAGCCTCACCCAGAACTTACTATGTAGCACAGATTAGCCTTACACTTACAATCCTCCTGCCTCAGCTTCCTGCACACTGGGCTTATAGGCCTGTACCACCATGCCTGGTACCGTATACACCTTTCTTGGTCTTGGTTTCCCATCATTAAAAATGGAGATAATGCCACAGAGGGCATTATACAGATCAGATGCTATCAGGCCCAAATCACAGTGTTTAATAAATTATATGAGATAAGTCAACACTTTCTTATACAATAAACTTGTTGTCAAATGATTTTGTCTAACCATAGGCTAATGTGCTTCGGTTTGTTTAGGGTGGCCTAGGTGGGGCTATGATGGGTTGGTAAGTTGGGGCGGGCATGGGGGAGGGCCAGAGGAAATCCTCAGGTATTGTTCCTCAGCAACCAAGCTGGCCAAGTGGGCTAGGCTGCTGGCCAGTGAGCCCTAGAGATCTTTTTTTTTTTTTTTTTTGAGATAAGGTCCCATTATGTAGCCCTTGCTGACCTGGAACTCATGAGCCTCATACCTCTGTTTCCCTAGTACTAGGATTACAGGCATGTTCAACTAGGCACAGCCCTGGAATGCATTTTAGGCTTAATGATACCTTCTCGGGGTTTAAATTAAGAGTACCTGCATTGGCCTGATGATTCCTGACTGGTGGTAGCAGGAGACCAGTGAGCAGTTTGTACCAGATCTACCTGCAGTAATACTTTAAGTCACTTGATTGATTTCCCAGCTCACAATCCTGAGAGGCCTGGCTTCTTACAGCCATACAAAAGCACTCCCAACTCCCACACCCATCAGTCTCCAGCTCTGCTACCTCCCAGTTATGTGACCTGGGACCCGTCATCTGACCTTGGTGGGCAGCCAGCCAGTGAGCTCTGCTTCCTCTGGAGAGTTGCTGTGAGGAGCAATGGAAGGGAGCCTCTCCTCAAATTCCAAGTTAATACAAACATGAAAGGGACAAGTCCTCCATTGATTAGAGCACTTCTTTAGTGGGAAAAAAATAGCCCTCATTCTTAAGACAGACCCCCACGGGAGTGGGCAGCTCATGGTGCTTCTATGGGGAGGGGTTAAGTCTTTTAAGCTGCCATTAGTGTCTCTATTATTGGAGATAAAGCCCAGGGTTGCTGCGATGGTTTTGCCCTCTGTAATTGCATTCACCTCGAAATCCACAAGCACCAGCGGGTCCCAGCGGTCATTATTTCATTTGAAAAACTAATTGAAAGTTGAGAGAGCCTTGGGTTTTTGCTTTTGTTGGGGCAGGGCAAGGAAAGAGATGAGCAGGTGGAGCCAGGAGGGAGCCAGGAGGGGCTGCTGGTGCCATTCAGCTGGGCTCCTCCTTTGTCCCAGACCTTGGCAGGTTCCTGGCCTCCCGCCTCTCCACCTCTGTTGAAGTGGACTGCCTGCCCTCAGTGGCCAGTCTTCTCCTCTGGAAGGGCTTTTGTTTCCCATTGTTTCCTCCCCAGCCATCAAGTGGCCTCCTGCAGTGTGTTTCCCACGCTTCGAATTCCTTGCTCAGGTTCTCGGGGGAGTAGGTGGTCTTTCAGGGCCCTGGTGCTGGGAGACAGGAGACCTGGCCACAGGCTTCTCAGGACTGAGGTCAAGTGCTTCCCTTCCCTGCTGGCAGTGAACTGTGCTGGAAAAACCAAGGGGTGGGATTCCCGCCATCCATCTTAAAATGCTGTGGTTATTTTTGTACTTTTAATCGGACTTTCCATCATCCGGCTTCACACTTGTCATCTTTTAAAGCTTAATTTACTTATAATAAAACACCTTTTTTTTTTTTGAGTCAGGGTCTTATGTAGCCCAGACAAGCTTGGAATTCATTATGTAACCAAGGGCGATCTTGAACTTCTGATCCTCCTGTCTTCACCACCTGAATGTTGGAATTATAGGCATGTGCCATTATGCCTGGTTTATACCGTTCTGAGGATCAAACCCAGAACTTTGTGCGTACTTGGCAACACTCTACTAACTGAGCTATATTTCTAGTCTAATAAATCTTAAGTACGCATAACTGCATTGATATGGTCACTACCCAAATCAAAATTTTCATCATATCAGACAGCTCACAGCTCTGGTAGAAGGCATGTTGAGGTTGGGGGGCATGTGTGGATATTTGACCCAGAGAGAATGATTCATCAGAAAAAGTTGGATAGTCACTGACCTAGTGACCTACACTTAGTGGCAAAACTTCATAAAAGAATTATCTCTTATTAGTGCTGCCTAAAGGCAATATAATAACCGCATAGGCAATTGTACATTTTCTTTTTTTTTTTTTTTTCAGTCTTCTTGAGACAGGGTCTCCCTGTAGCCCCAGCTGTCCTGGAACTCACTATGTAGACTAGGCTGGCCTTGAACTCACAGAGATCCGCCTGCCTCTGCCTCCCCAGTGCGCCACCACGCCCAGCACTTTTTCTTTTTTTAAAAAAATATTTATTATTTTTAAGTGTATGCCTGCATGTAGGTAAGTGCACCCATGTCATGCAGTGCCCACGGAGAACAGAAGAGGCTGTCGGATCCCCTGGAACTGGAGTTACGGACAGTTGTTAGCTGCCATGTGGGTGCTGGGATTCGAACCCAGGTCTTCTGCAAGAACAGCCAGTGTTCTTAACCGCTGAGCCATCTCTCCAGCCCCCAATTGTACATTTTCTGATAGCCTCAATTTTAGTCATTGTGGTGCCTTACATTCCCGGAGTCATTTCCCTGTCTCCCTTCAGGTCTTTACTCCACTGTCAACATTGGTGCCTTTGCATACGCACACTGAACAAAAATTATGCATCCTAGCACCCCTTCCCACCCCATGAGTCTTTTCCTTTGTTCTTGGCACTGTTTTTTATTACCCTCCTCCATGAGGCCAGGACTCTGCTCACTTCTGCTTCCCCAGGGCCTAGAACAGTGCCATGGTATAAATAAATGAGTGTTTTGAATGACTCAATGGTGTTATCCTAGACTGCTGAGTCCCTGTGAATGAAGGATGGCTTGAATGGAGGTAGTGGTGTGTGGCTAAGAGCCTGGCTCTGGCTACATCAGCTAGGATTGCTTCCCAGTTCTTTCCCTTGCTAGCTGCCACAGTGGGCAATTCGGTCAACCTTTTTAGATCTCAGTCCCTAGGCTGTGAAATGAGGAGGATCCCCATCCTCACCATGGGGCCGTGTGAGGAACAGCAAAGACTGTGTGTGCAAAGCTGCCCATCTGGCCCTCTGTGAGTTTTTGGTAAAGCTAGCTACTTGGTGCATGTTGGGGGATGGTGTGTGAGTCTGTGTGTAGAGACCAGAGATCATCCTTGGGTGTGGTTCCTCAGTAGCCATTCACCTTGTGTTCGGAGACAGAGTCTCTCACTGGGACCTGGAGTTCACAGATTAGGCTAGGCTAGTTGACCAGTGAGCCTCAGGGATCCATCCACCTGTCTTAACCTCCCCATTGCTAGGATTACATAAGCATACATTACCATGCCTGTGTTTTTACGGGGATGCCAGGAATTGAACTTAGGTCCTCATGATTGTGCAGCAAGCACTTTTCCAACTGGGCCAACTCCCCAGCTCCACCTATTGTTAGGCCTGTCATACTATCCTGGGAGAGGTAATTATATAAAGCACATAAAAAATTAGACTGAAGATAAAGGAACACTGAAATGCAGATCAGAATGGGGGGATTTTATTGTATTTACAGAAGAAAAAGTATATCAGAACTGAAGTGGGAGTAACTGGATCCAGTTGTGTTTTGGGTACGGGTGGTCCAAGCCTCCAGTGAAGGCTTCATCCTTGGGAATTCCTACACAGAAAGAAGAGAAACTCAATCCAGATACTACAGTAAGCATGTGTCACCAGGATAGTGGGGGCTCCAGGACCGGAGCTGGCTGTCTGGATACCCAGAGGCAACAAGCAGTGGCAGGAAGGATACTCGTGGGCACCAGAAATTGAAGACCAGTCTAACACCTGCCCTAACCTGCCCCCACTGACACCCTGTACTGGTAACTTCTCTTTTGAAGAGGCCACTTCTAACCTACAACAGGGTCAGCTTCTTCCCAGCCAAACATCCATCACACACTACAACCTTTTCTGTTGATCACAAATTGAATGAATGCACAAGAACGTATGTGGATCATGACTGCTTCTATGTGGTATGGACTCCATGAGATTAGAGGCTATCCCTGTCCTGATGACTTGATCCCCAGCCCAGAGCCTGACACATGGTAGCCACTGGATGGATATTACAGAGGTGACAGAATGGCTAAACTGGAATGGCAGCTTCCTGTGCGGAAAAACAACAGAAGTGAGTGGGTATAGATTGCTCTCCTCTACACACTGTTTATTTGTTTGCTTGCTTGCTTGCTTGCTTGTTTTGAGACAGGCTCTCATACAGTAGCTCAGACTGGCCTGGAACTTAAGTAGCCCAGACTAGCCTTGAGGTCTTAATCGTCCTGTCTCAGCCTCTCAAATGTTGGGATTACAGGCATGAGCTACCATCGCCCACTTGTCTCAAACTCCTAGTGGTATCTTAGTATTTGTCCAGGCCTCTTCCTTTGGGTTCTGTGAAAGCCTAGCTGTTAACCTGCAGAACAAAGCTGGCTTTCCCAGGATTGGTCATCCTTGGAGCTGCTCTGCCCAGGGCAGCCTGGTTAGAAAAGCTACAGGGGGGAGATTACCTTGTCTCCTGGTAAGATGCACTGTGTGGAACCTTTAGCGGCAATATTCCTAGATTCTTTGGGACCCTAGAGGGGATCAGAATTCACCTGTTCCTCTTGCAGGGAAGGAAATGAGTCTACCTATTGCCATGGGCAAGGAGTTAGTCTCAGAGTCAGGTCTGCAGCTCATCACCAGTCTAGTTCTTACCCCTCATCATTTGCCTATGGCCTACAACTGCCTGTATCTCCCCATACAAAAGCTCATGAGCTCCCTGGCTCTGAGTGTCTGATGAAGTTGGTAGGAAGGTGATGGAGTAAACGGACAGCTTTAATGAGAACTGGGTTTGCTTAATAGGCTGGTGCAGAGTTGCAGTGGAATAATCTTGTGCTCAGTTTAAAATCAGGCTGTGAAATACAGCTGTTTCTCTCTGAACAGTCAAGCCAATCTTTGGAAACTGGAGTCTTGTGTGAAGAAGTTCCCAGGTATACAAAGCAGGCTTGGGCTTGCAGGTCCCTGGCTTGGGCCAGCTGCCACCTCTTCTTGGCCTCACTTTTTCCCTCTGTCAAAGGAGAAAACTCATTCCCCATCTTCCCTGACTCCAGTAGGAAAGTGCGGGGCAGAAAGATGAGGAATGACTATCACGACCAGCTCTCCCTCAGATGACAGTGCTCTCTGTACGCACTGGCCAACTACAGGGTACAGGAAATCTAGTCTGTCTTGGGCATTAACGATTTGTAGACTTCACAAGAGATCCAGGGTATACCCTTCACATCACCACATGCAATCCTTTTGGACACCTGTTAAAACACAGGGTCTGAGACATATTCAAGAATCATGTTTTCAAGCACTGAGCCTGGCCTCTTGTTCCACTGGATACATGCAGTGGCCAACATACAGACCCCATCACACATTTTCTCCCCTGCCTCCAGTGTTGGTGTGTGTGCGTGGAGGAGCTGTGTTCTCCCTTTGCTTGGCAAACGAAGCCCTATACCTATGGCGAGAAGGTAATTCTTCCCCAGGAAACTCAGAAGGCAGGAAACCTCTGAAGTCTCTAGCTATTCTCTCTCTGTCTCTCTCCCTCTCTCTCTCTCTCTCTCTCTCTCTCTC